CACGATATGTTACCCATAATAACAAAATGATTAAAGTGTACACAGAGCATGGTCAAACGAACTTGCTTACATATTTTATGTCCCCAACTGGTCCAAAAAGGGTTATAATAGAAGACATGGAGAAGCAGGATTGCATTAGACCCTCATCACCTGTAGTTGCTCATGAAGTGGTAACTCCAATCCAAATTGATGTTGGTGAGGGTGATTTAGGGTTAGCATTAACCTTATACAAATCAGCAACACCTGAATTTAGTAGGTCTAAAGGTTGGAAACATAGTAAAGGGGCATCGTCTTGTAGTAGAATGCTTAAATTGGATTGGGAAGGTGCTGAAAAAACAATGGCAAGTGGTGAAGTTGATAAGGGTAAGGGTGTAGAAGGATTTGTAGATGAATTTGTTGTAGTTGATGCAGAAAAAGAGTTAAACAAAGAGATTGATGTGAATGAAGAACTTGATGTGAACAAATCCAATGGTGAGGGTGTAGAAGGATTTGCAGATGAGGGGTATAGAGTTGTCATGGATAATGATCCTCAAGGAGTCAATGAATTTTCAACTAACATCAACATAGATGATGAGTTAATGACAAACTTTCAACCTTTTGAAGGGTTTGAAGACGAAGATAGCATCCCATTTAATGGGTTTGAAGGCCAAGATAATATTCCTTTCAATGATGAGTGCAGACAAGAGGAGCCTGATGACATTGAGTTTGAGAATCAAAACAGTGAAGATGAAGATAGTGACTTTATGATTGATGAGGACAACATAATTGAAGATGTTGACGTTGACATGGAGGATTTCAATCTAAATATTGATATAGAAGCAGAGTTCAATGGATGTCAAAGAATGGGTGGTCAAAGAAATGAAGATAGTGTTGAAGAAGATGATTTGGAGGTAATTGACAATGACGAGTGGGATTCACTAAGTGATGACTCAGGGGACAACAGGAAAAGAAGAGAAATGATCAAAGAGCTGGGGAAACAAACCTTATGTTCTGCTGGTGAGGTGCACAAGGTAGCTTTTCATATTGGGCAGAAATATAAAGCCAAGAAAGAATTGAAAGATAAAATTGACCTGCATGCTTTAGAGACAAGGAGGAATATCTCATTCACAAAAAACGACAAGAGTAGATTAACAGCTGTTTGTGATGGAACTGTAGTTTTAAATGCAAGTGGGGTAGGTGGACCTACCTCTGGGAAAAAGGTAAAGGGTAAAGATGTAAACTCAGATAAAGTTAAATGCACATGGAAACTTCATGCATCTAGGTCAAGTGAACAGGACTATTGGTTTATTAAGACGTATAATCAGAAACACATCTGCCTCCAAACACGAAAAATCAGATCTTGCACAGCAACATTTCTTTCCAAACGTATTATGGATCAGATTGAAGCTAATCCTGGACTGCCTGTTCGTGCCCTACAAGAGCAACTCCAATCAACTTATGGAGTTAGTATTTCAGAAGAGAAAGCATTTAGGGCAAAAGCATTAGCCACCAAAAATGTTGCAGGGGATTACGTAAAGCAATATGCAGCTTTGAGAGACTATGTACTAGAGCTACAAAAGACAAATGAAGGTACAACTGTAAAGATTGATGTGGTTTCAGAACCTGTGGTTTCATCCCCAACCAGGCAATTCAGAAGGATATACGTGTGTTTAGGTCCTTTGAAGAAAGGTTTTAAGGCAGGTTTGAGAGAATTTTTAGGCTTAGATGGAGCCTTCATGAAGGGACCTTTCCCAGGTCAAATACTAAGTGCAGTTGGTGTTGATTCCAACAATGGAACCTACCCATTGGCATATGCTGTTGCTGAAAGTGAAAACACTTCAAGTTGGAAATGGTTTCTTCAGTGTCTTGCAGAAGATCTTGACTTGTATTCAAATTCCAACTTCACCTTTATCAGTGATAGACAGAAGGTACTATAGTTACATTTAATATTGCATACTAGTTTCATTACAAACTAATGATAATTTCTTATTTTGTTTTGGTGACAACAGGGTCTTCTACCAGCCATAGAACAATTGTTCCCTAATGCAGAACACAGGTTCTGTATTAGACACATATACCAGAACATGAGGATGTTATTTAAGACTACAGAGTACAAGGAGTATTTTTGGAGGTGTGCTACAGCCACCACCATACCAGAGTTTGAAGCTGTAATGGTAGAGCTAAGGAATTATGACATAGAAGCATATCAATGGCTCTTGAAAATCCCTCCACATCATTGGGCTAGAAGTCATTTTTCTGGTATTTTCTCAATTTGTTGTCTTATTTTTTATTGTAGTATAGATATACACTAACTGTTGTTTTGTTAATGAACTATTAGGAAGGGCAATTTCAGACATGTTATTGAATAACCTTTGTGAAGTGTTCAATAGCAAACTTGTAAAAGGGAGAGACAAACCCATTATCAGTTGTTTGGAGTTCATCAGAGAGTACCTTATGAAGAGAGTATGCAATGTGATGAAGGTGTTAAACAAGTGTCAAGGTCCATTAACTCCAACTGGTACTAGGATTTTGGAAGCAAACACAACACTAGCTAGTAAGTATCATGCACGATGGAATGGGGGACAAAAGTATCAGGTTAAAGGTCCATGGAATGATCAACATGTGGTGGACATGGAGAAAAGGGAGTGTAGTTGTAGAAAGTGGGAGCTTACTGGAATTCCTTGCAAACATGCTATTGCAAGCCTAAATGAAATGGCAGACAACAATGAAAAGGTAGGAGAACTATACACCTATGTGCATAAGGTGTATTGGCTTGATACATGGAAAGAGATGTACTCCTTCAAGGTGGAGCCTATCAAAGGTAGAGCCATGTGGCCTAAGAGTGACTGCCCAACAACTCTTGTGCCTCCACCACACAACAAAGCTATAGGCAGGCCAAAAAAGAAAAGAAGGATTACAGCAGAGGAAAGGATTGAAATCCAGCAACGTAAGAGGCAAGCAAACAGTCAAAGTCAAAATGATAATGAAACTCAATCACTGAGCAGGAAGTTTTTGACTGTTACATGTAGTAAGTGTAAGCAAAAGGGTCACAATGCCAGGACCTGCAAGGCCAAAGATGGGAATTGATGTTTAAGTACTTTTTATGTTTGTCAAGACTTGTTAATGCACTTTAGTTGGTACTTTGTTGCCTTTTTTTTGTTCCATTTTGATAATGTACTTTGATGCCCTTTTGATAATGTACTTTAATGCCCTTTGTTGGTAATGATTGTGTTTTGGCATTTATCTGTTATGGTCCCCTTTTGGTAATGTTGTTTGTTATTTGTTTATGTTGTACTGTCAAAGCATGAAGATGTTATGGCAATGTACTTAATGTATGCATATAAAACCATTACAATTGCATATTCAAACGTAGAGAAAAACCATTACACTTGCATATCATGTCAAGATCAAACCTTTATAATTTCATATTCATAAAAGGATAAAACCATTACACTTCCCATTGTCATAAAAGCATTACATATACAATGATCCAAAAGATAACACTTTTAAGTGGTTACTACCAACAAAAACATATATAAACCACAATTAAACCTTCTAGCACCAAAAGACAACATTTTTAAGTGGTTACTACCAACAAAAAAGTCCTAACCTCTAATTCCTATTTCCAAAACAGCACAAACAACAGAAACAAAATCCACGAGACAAGCAAACACATCTTCAGCTGGCCCACTTCAACCTCATACCTATTCATTGTTCTCAACAGTCCTGGTATGATAACAGTTGATCTTTGACACATAGGGGGATCGAACCACCCCAAAAATGCACATCTGGATCCCTACAAGAATACATTAAAGTAGAAGAGTTATTGCTTAACTACCGACTTCTATGTAACCTAATATCAGTTTGCTAACCATTTTAGGGCATGCATAGAAACGACGACCAGGGTTTCGTGAAGTCCATGAGGTTCGCACAACAGCAACATTCCCACAGAAGCAGAGCACCATTTTTGAATCTCGTAGCAGTAGAAGTAGACGAGAGATGAAGAAGAAGAGACGAAGTAGAAGAGGAAGAGGATTCTTCTCTGTAAATAAAAATGAAGAAGAGGAAGAGGATTGCGTATATGTATATAAGGGAGAAATATGATATTATTTAAAATAAGTACCTAAAATGACCAAAATGCCCTCACATGGAGGGCACGTGTAGGCACTAACGGCCCCAAACAAACGGTCAATGACGGAATGGACTAAAAACCCAAGAAAACCTTGATTTTGGACCTTTGGTGCAAGCTGGAAACTATTTGGACCCCATCCAAAAGTTTTGGCAAACCACAAGGACCAAATTCGCAGTTTTGTCTTTTTAAAATTTTTAAACTTTCTAAAAAAACTTCATTTATACACCGCTTACAACTCCTTTTGCTGTTGAAATGTTCTTTTGAAGATTTTTATAACCAAAAAAAAAAAAATCAAAATGTTTTTTTTTTTTTTTTTTTCGCAAATCAGATCTAAAAAAAAAGATCGGCGAAGTTCTTTTTTGGTTGTATTTTTGAAAGTTAATGCCACAATATAAATTCTTTTTGGTTATAGAAATAATCTTTGAAGATTTATTTTCTTTTTTGAAAACGATATTTTTGGTGATCAGTGTATTCTTTTACGTTTTAGTTTTCACATTTTTTACTTACTAAATTATTAAAAAACATCGTTAGGGTTTTATTTGAACGAGAGAACTGGAGGACGTGATTTTAATGGGAAGAAGAAAGAAGATCACGGTTTTCTCATATTTGTAGTTTAGAGATCTTAGTATACTCATCCAATTACGGTAAGTTTTTCTCTTAGATTAATTTGTTGATTAGGGCTTAAGAGGTTTATGATGATTGTTTGATAGCCTGGTTTCAATTCCTGCGTCTTTGGCTTTGGTTTTCCAAAGTCATCACGAGAACAGAAGAAACCTTTTGTTGAGAAAAACGGATCTGGTCACAATTTGGATCACGAAACGACCTCTGACCATCGGCGTTTAGTTTCCGTGAAAGCTCGGCCAACCAATTTTTTAGGTTCGGTACGCACATGGAAACCGCCGGTGATGATGATAGGAGTGTAACCCGTAAAAAGGCGAAGGGCACAACTGGAATAGCTGTTTCCCATTCCGACTCTAACATAAACTCCTTTGTTACTAATCTCTTGAATTCCTTCAATCTCCTGGAAGTTGACCCTTTCCGTCAATCCGACAGTGACAAGGAGCTGGTTGACCGCGTGATCATGGTATACAATCTTCTCTGGAGAAAACTCACACAAATTGATGAGACAAAGTTAGCTCTTCCAGGGACAAAAAAACGTCCAGACTTAGGGGCAGGTGCTATCTGTATGAATAAAGGGGTTCGTGCTAATACCAAGAAAAGGTTTGAATCTGTTCCAGGTGTTGATATTGGTGACATTTTCTTTTTTCGATTTGAATTGTGCTTGGTAGGATTACATTTTCCAAGTATTGCTGGAATAGATTTCATGGGTGTTCCATCCTCTGAATATGAAGAGCCTGTAGCTGTGAGTATAGTCTCTACAGGAGGATATGAAGATGATGGGGATGATGGTGAGGTGTTGATATACAGTGGGGAAGGTGGGGCCCAAAGGAAAGATAAACCGCAAACTGATCAACAACTAACAAGAGGTAACCTTGCTCTTGAAAAAAGCTTACACAGGGGTGATAAGGTACGTGTCATTCGTGGTATTAAAGATTGTCAATATACAACTGGGAAAGTTTATCTCTATGATGGGTTATACACAATACACGAATCTTGGATTGAAAAAGGGAAATCTGATTGTGATGTTTTTAAGTACAAATTGTTTAGAGTTCCAGGACAACCAGAAGCATTTACATTATGGAAATCAATTCAACAATGGAAAAAGAGTCGTGGTCCTATTACAAGAGTTGGTGTTAATGTTATTCTCCCTGATCTTTCTTCACATGCTGAAACGTTACCTGTGTCTCTTGTAAACGATGTTGATGATGACAAGGGGCCCGCTTCTTTTACATATACACGAACTCTCAAGAATAAAAATCCATTTCCTTTGACTAAATCTTCCTCTACTTGCACTTGCACAGATGGATGCCAGCCTGGCAGTAACTGCCCTTGTCTCCAAAAAAATGGAGGGTATATGCCGTATACACCTCTTGGTGTTCTTCTGACTCACAACACAGTGATTCATGAATGTGGGAATTCTTGTAGATGCCCTAATACCTGTAGGAATCGGATTTCACAGATGGGTTTGAAGATCCGGTTGGAGGTGTTCAAAACAAAGGATAGAGGCTGGGGACTGAGGTCGTGGGACCCGATTCGTTCAGGGGGGTTTATATGTGAATATGCAGGTGTGGTGATTGAGGGTAGAAAAGGGATTGATCCTGATGATGATTATGTTTTTGATGCGACTCGTGTGTTTGAGCCTGTTGAAAGTGTAACAAGTGATGAGCATCCAAAGTTTCCATTTCCTTTAGTGATTAGTGCCAAAAAAGAGGGGAATGTGGGAAGGTTTATGAACCATAGCTGCTCACCTAATGTGTATTGGCAACCGGTTGTTTGTGAATATCAACATGATGCTTATTTTCATGTTGGGTTTTATGCGATTAAACATATTCCTCCTATGCAGGAGTTGACTTATAGTTATGGAAAGGGACGTGTGGATAAGGGTGGGCCCCGTAGGAAAAAGTGTTTGTGTGGCTCACCAAGGTGCAAAGGGTCTTTTTACTAAATTTCACATGTCAAATGGTGCCCTTATGTAAAAGGTAAGCTATATATCTTGTTGTGTCCCTCTTTATGTTTTTGATCATATTCCATGAACTTGAAAGTTGAGACACTGAGATGCTTGAAAGAAGGTTAATTGCTATATCTTGTGGTGGCAAGTGATATGTAGCTGATTGCTTCAGTAATACCATCAAAAACCTTAAAAAAGTTAATGGGATAGTAACACTCTTCAAGTTGGTCATAAATATCTAGGGTCAATTGGTTAAATGCAACATTTAGCAACGTAATTTTTTTTATATTTTTTGTTTGGGTTATAGCATCTTATTCACTTGTTTTTTTTTTTATCCTTTTTACTGCATTGTGCCATACTGCGATGAAAAATTTACACAGTTATAGCAATGTCATGTAATCAAACAGAAATTTTCACTGCTATAATTGGGTAGAATTTTCAAAGTATGATGTCCTAATGAAAAAAAATGGTATAATTGGGTGGATGTTTTTAAAGTACAAGTAAAACACTGAAAATACAATGCAGTAATAGAAAGAAATGAAAGTAAGATGCTAAATATAATAAACAAATAAATAAAAGTACATTGCTATTTCTTGCATTTAGCCCTAACGATGTCTGTTAATTGTTTATTTGCAGATTAAAGCAGAAGAAGTTGTAGTTTGTAGGTGCAATTGAAATGAAATGGATTTTGCTTTAGATGGTGACCAAAATTCTTATTAAGCATTAGGACCGGATGATGATGATAGCAGGTCTCTTCTCTCATAATATATATGTTTGGTAATGGCAATGTAGTAATTCAGTAGTGTAAGTACATGAAGTTGTATTTGGGGATTGGGTATGTGTAGCCCTTGGTTTTCTTTTATTATTAAATTATTAGGCGACTTTCTTAGCTTGTGAATATGCATGTCCTTTAGATTACCCATGTTTATTTCGTACCGATCACTTTGACTTGCTCTCACCACCTTTTTGCCTCATGTACAGGTTCTCTTTTTTTGCACATGCCGGAGGTCATCTTTATGACACAATCGTAGTCATTCTCAATAGAAGCATGATTGTCCATCATCTACCTCCCTCCTACTCCAGTCTAATGGGATTTCTGGGTGTATTACATTTTCAATCTACCTGTTCTTATTTTTATAATGTTCTCTACAAAGTAGATGGCACTTCTTGAAATGAGTGTTGATTCTTGTGTATCAATTGGGGTTAGGTTATTTGAAACCAAGACTAATGTCGATTAGACAAGAATTGCAATATTTGTTGTCCTTGCATTGAAAACAGCCGTAAAAAACATGTGTAGTTAGTTATGTACTTTCAAGTGAATAGTGATGTCCTTGGCAATAAAAGTAGCCATGGAAACATCCTTTTCAAATTTCATCAAGACAACCATATTTTCATCTTCTATCATAAATAACCACTAATTTCACAACCACCAATTCTGCAAATCCATGAAGCAACAATTCCCAATAAAGTGATCTCGCTAAATCTTAACGAGGTGCATTTATTTTGCGAACATACCTTATGTTTAATTTGTTGTACCAACACCAATAACACCTTGTGAGTTTGCAAAGTGCATTAAAACTTTAAGCTAAGCGGAAAGAAATAATAAAAAAATTCATTTAAATTCTACCAACCAACTAACCATGGAAAATAAGAATTCATATCAATTTGATTCCTTCATACATTTCATCTAATCAAACAGATTCTTGATGTTAGTTTTAACCAATTCATATTATGCACCAAGAAAACAGAATTAGGAAACAATAGATGCAGCCCAAAACAGAGCAAGTGCAACTTTGTTTAAATTTCATCTAGAAACATAAAAGATCATAGGATTATATATCATACATCATATATGTATGACAAAAATGTTAATAGAACTTGTTTTTTAAATGCAGAAATTAGGGTTCTTGCTGGTATCACAGCTATAGTTTCATGAAACAAGACAGAATTGAAGTATTTGAATGAGACAATTATCTGTCCAACAACAACAGTTCCTCATTCATTGGCACTTGCATCACTAGAAGGCGAGTTGCTAGCATCTATTTGAAAATACAAAGAAAGTTATAGATTCAACATAAAAAGTAGCCATAATTTTATATTAGTAAACTAATTATGATTTATGACACATTTTATTCAAATATGGGTTTGAAAATAAAAAAATATAAAGCATACCTTCTCCATCTGCTGGAGCATAAGGAGATTTCCGGTATCGTGTTTGCTGCTGAGTTGGCTAAAAAGTAAACCAAAAACAACAAATGAATTTTCATTAAGTGTTATAGTTCAAGAATCTTATTCTTTTACTTAAAAACATAGCAATTTCAAGAAAGCACATTACATTACATTACAATAAAGTACCTCTAATTTGGGCCGAAGTGCCTCAAGTGGTCCTTTGGGCTTAGCTACACCTTGCTGTCAACAATAACATTTAGGTTTAGGTAAATAAAACAAACAAGCAACTTTCTACATTATACAAAACTTGGCTTTCATTAATTACTAATTATCATAGTCTTCTAAATAAAACTTAGCAACAAATGCTCATTGTAAAGAGTAAAGACCAACATGAAAGAAAGAAGAGAAAAGAAATTGTAAATTGCACCTTTCCCAATGCCCAATCAGCTGAATCAAAATATGCGCGCTCATGATCCTGTCATAAAATACCATGTGTAGTATAATATAAAACCAAGAAAGACCCGATATTTCTAGAAATAGAATTGATTTTTATTTTTACCTTGGAAATGAGTGGGGGCTTTTTTGGCACAATACCTCCATACTTCTTTTTGATGACTTCTTCCTAAAAGACAAAGTATCATGAAATCAATGATTATAAGTAACATGCAGTAGTTATGTTATGGACAAAGATCCAGGATTTGAAAGCTACCTCCTTTCCTGCAGAAGGCATGGATGTATCATCCATTTGCTCAGACCCTTTATCTGCCATAAGGTCCTTCAACTAGCAAGAGCACATCAGCTGTAGTATCACAATTCACAAACCATGTTTTTCTTCCATCAATTTACATCTATAGTTAATAGTTAATACTACTAGATGCACAAACTTTAATAATCACTTTGCAGCTTTCGTAGGTTATAGCAAAAAGTTCTGGACACAAGATTTCATGCATCAACAAATACCTAAATCACTGGAGATTGTGTTATGTAGCAGTAAACAGATGAAAGCACACACACATAAGAAAACCATTGGCATTATGTGCTTTATGTAGTTTAAACTTTTGAATAGTTGAGGAGCATGACCATGGGAATTCCTAAAGATAATTCATTAGATTGCCTTGCTAAACCTACATACAGTATTTCCAATTGCTAACCTACAAGAAGATAACAAAATGCTGGTATATTTAAGAGCTCAGATTCCAGGGCTTGGGATTGAGATTGAAGGAAGATCACTTTCAATTCCAAAATCCAAACCAATAATTCCATGTTCCCAAATAATGCCTTAGTGATTCTATACTATATTTTACCCAAATTAAGAATTTGACACGAAATGCAATATGTATCCCGTTTTTTTAAAACCACTGAAGAGTTTGAGCCACACCAGAATATACCAAATGAGATGCCCATGGCTAGTTGAGCAAGGAACAATGTTCTTTATGTTCTCAAGCTCTAAGAGAATGCTACGTTGATAAAACTTCTTATATATCCCATATTTAGCCACCTAATTTAGAAATTATAAAATGTTTCGGTGTCGTTGTTGCGGTAATCAAGCCGTTTAAGATAACAAAACATTCATACGGTCTATCAATTCCACCAATCCTTCGATTGGCCACCAAATATACATGAAAAATGTAAACAAATCGCTACGTATACTCCGAGTTTAGTTGTTTATTGAAGGCATATCGTCAAGAATTCAGACATGAAACTTATTCAGGAATACGATTTCTGGATAAAATGACGATCCAAGATCTAATTCGAAATCAATAACAAGTAAATAAATTATAAAGTGGCGACTATTTTGAACGCATTACCGATCAAACAAAGCTGAGGAGGAGTTCAGGCCAGCTTCTTCAACCTTTGATCAAGGAGAGAGACGATACACAAATCCTGTGTGCGTGGCGTGGAAGGGGAGGAGAATCATTAATTTATTGACCTAATAATTGGTTAGCCCCACACACTTTCAACTTTTTACAATCAAAATATCGTATGGTACTATTTACATATGCTTCTTACTTTCTCTACATTCTATTGATAAGATAAGATTATTAGCTTTTTAAAGTATTTAACAATTCGATTATTATATGATTTTAACACATATAACGACCAAAAAAAATATTGCCATTATATATATATATATATATATATATATATATATATATATATATATATATATATATATATATATATATTAAAGTGAATATACCTAACAACCTTATATAAGCTTAGGTACCTAACCATATTATACTACATTGTTTTGCATTATATTTCCATTGCAATCGTGTAAGGTTCTTAAACTTCAACCCTTAACTTGATTTACTTCCAAGATTTTCAGACATTCACCAATATATTCTTCCTCCACCATTTGATTTGTAACGGTAGTATATGAAGCCCACCAGGGGATCTCCGATAGAAAGACGTCATTTGAAGGAAGATAATGGTGAACGTCCAAAGATTTTGAAAGCAATCAAGTTACGAGGTTGAATTTTAAGAACTTTGGGTGATTACAATGCAAATATGATACAAAATTACATAGTATGATGTGGTTAGGTACGTAAGCTTATATAAGATTGTTAGGTATATTTACTTTACCCATATATATATATATATATATATATATATATATATATATATATATATATATATATATATATATATATATATATATAAATTGTCCTACCTTAGCTACAGTAAAACATCTTTTGATATCTATTATTCCCCTTCCACTTTCATCCTTTTGTTTTTACTTACTTTTTATTTGTTTTTTCTTCTGTCCTTCATTTTTGTAAGATGATTACTTAATTAGTTTATTGTTAAACCTTTCTACTTTTTATGTGTCATTTGTCGTATGTTTTACTTTCCACGTGTTAATTTCTTATTTTTTCCTCTTTCCATCACCACCAGCGATATGCCTTCTAAATTAATCGGCTTCAACTTTCCAGTTCCTTCCGCACTCCCTACTCCACCTTATCTTTTTCGTTTCGTCTCCACCCATCACCGCTCCCTCCGACAAATGCTTTTCTTCCGCTTTCGATTTGTCTTCATCGTCTTCATCCTATACCAACAGCAGCAACCTACTCTTGGTGCATATTCTGCCCCTTTTCTTCTTCTCAGTGGAATCGAAGACTAGCCAAATCAGGAAGCCTTTGTCTACACACCGATGGTAACAACGGTTTTGTGTCTACACGATCACAAATCGACACTATTTGAGCATCGACAGTGGCGGAGGAGGCGAAGGGGATCGGAAAGGTAAGAGAAAAGGGTTCCCGGTGAAACCATCCTCAAAACTTCAAAATTTCTTCTCCGATCTGCTTCGTCACCGCCATCATCTATCCTCTTCTATCACCTCACTTATCCGCCTCCTTCTTGATTACGCGCTCCACCGGACATCACCCCTTTATTCTTTTATCTCTGAATTCTATTCTTTTTATCTCTAAATTTAGAGTCGATGCTCCGTCTAATGGAGGGTTTTCCTTTCTTTTAAACAAATAAAAAAATTGTTCATTCTTCCAAAATCCTTTCCACTCCCCAACTCTTATCTCCGACCCAACCTTCTCCTCTTTCTTCAACAACTCAACGTATTTCGTTCGCTTCTGTGGGATATTTGCTCTGATAATTAGAGAACTTGTAGAAAGTGTAGAGTCGGATAAGAACCCAATACCGGTCACTTACATATTTGGATCGATCAGATAGCACCGATCGAAATTGTGTCTGCAACGACTTCTAGCCCTAAAAATCACCATTCACGCCTTTAGAATGAAACATCGAAACCTCATCTACATCATTCATTATGTCCGTCAATGTCTCTATTCATACTTCCAGGTAATCAATATTTAGTGTTCACTTATTTTCATTTCAATTTAAGCTTTCTCCCAAAACCCAAATTGAAATCAAAACTCAATACATTAATTCATCAAGTTTGATTTATAGTTCCGGAAATCTATAGCTCTTACAAGTTTCATTTTCCACATAAAGATTTACTCATTTGGTGATTTATTCACCTATACAGACCTGCTTATATACCGTATTTCCATCTTCTATTCCCGCTGCCTGCCTCCTTGATCCTTCTCCTTCCAGGTAAATTGATTGTTGGGTTTTATTTTTGTTCAAATTGGTGCATTGCATTTTATAGGATTGAGGTTTCGATTGAGTGGATTGGGGTTGTACCTGGCAACTTATTTCATGTTTGTGATTCTTCTAGATGCAAAAGGAGCTTATCGTAAGTCTTTTATATCTTAATTTACACATTGATTATTTATTTATTTATTTATTTATTATTGTTTTTTTCTTTCACCAAGAATCAAACAGGTATATGAAACAGAGCTAGAAATCATTTCTCAATGGTTTCAGTCAAAAAAATTCATGAACCTTCGCATACAATACTTTTGAAAATGAGACAATGAAGATCAATGTTAAGGTATTATTATAACAAGAAGACCTCGCATTTGAGAAAGATCTTAAAGATGGATTTCCATCCCAAGAAGATTAGGAAAGTGCTAGAAATTTATCTCTTTGTTTGAAGCATTTTTTTAAAGCCACGAAAAGGATGTCAGGAACTTTGTATGTTACGGCTAATATGCATTTTCATGAGATATTAGGTGTACTTGCTTCCTTGTTGGAGTGGACACAAGATGATGATATTAATATTGTTCTTATGGGTGATCAAATGAGAAAAAAGTTTAACAAGTATTATGGAGACTTTGGAAAAACAAATGTGATGGTGTTAGTTGCGATTGCTCTTGATCCAAGGTATAAGATGAGGTTTGTGAATTTTTCTCTAAGAAAAATCTATCATTTGGACTTCAAGAAGGTTGAAGAACTATATGCTCAAGTGTTTGAGGTTTTGAATAAACTATATAATCATTATTCTAATGTTTCTTCAATAACAAAGAATGACGATTCTAGTTCTTTCAATACAAATGATAACGATGGTCAAAATTTTGTTGGTGTGGTTAAGAATAAGCAAATGAGAAAAATATATGATGAGTTCTATGAAAATGATGTTGAAGATGCTATGGAAAAATCTGAATTTGAGGAATATCTTGATGCTCCACCCAAAAAAATAAATAATGAAACATTTGATATTTTGAAGTGGTGGAGTGACAAATGCACATCATATAAGGTGTTGGCATCAATGACAAAGGACATTCTAGCCATTTTGGTTTCTACGGTTGCTAATGAGTCCACTTTTAGTACATCTGGTCATGTGGTGGATGACTTTCATAGTAATTTGATTCCGAAGGCGGTGGAAGCTTTGATTTGTACTCAAGATTGGTTGAGGACGTCAAATGTTTGTATTGACCTTGAACAATTATTGGAAGATGTGGAAAATATGAGGAAGGTAATACGGAAGATACACTTTTATTTATTCTTTTATTATATGTTTCTTGTATAATATTTAATATTCTAATTTGAATTTTTATGTTTAATTCCATTGCAGAAATTAGTCGCAATATGGAAGATACACGTGGAGGGAATTAGCAGTTGCTGTTTTTGATGTTGGGATGTTGCTGTTTGCTGTTTGCTGTTTTTTGCTTGCTGCTGGTGTTGTTTTGTTGTTGATGTTTGGCTGTTTGTTGTTTCCTATTGATGTTGTTTTGTTATGGCTATTTTACTGTTCTTGTGCTGTTTTGAAAATTGCTGAAAATTGTTTGTTGTTTTGCTGTTTTGGCTTTCGTTATTGCTGAAAATTGTCATTTTGTTATAATAATTTGCTAAGATCAAGTTTTAATGATTATTTTAGTTTTATATCTTGTACTCCTAGCCTCCTAATGTTTATAAATAATTATTTCAATAACATGTATAAAATAAAATTTGTAAATATTCAAGAAACCGAGTACGCAGAACCGAAACCGGAACCGGTCTTGGCGGTTCTGGGAGCGGTTCCAATTTTTTAGGAACCGGTGTAGGCGGTTCTGGGAGCGGTTCCAAATTTCTAAGAACCGACGATTCCGAGAGCGGTTCTGGTTCCCAATAAAATAGGCGGGTACCCGCTTTTGCTCATCTCTAATTCTAGGGATTATGGAACTCGGCGAGTTGAGTCAACCAGATGTTGACTTTGACCAAGATGTTGACCTTGACTTTGTCTTTGACCTGAGTTGACCCTTGAAAGGGATCAAGAGTATGAAATGGTAATTAAGGAGGGTTGTCATGTGTAGAAGTTGAGAGGAGTTGATCCCGACATCAAGGACAATTCCGACGCTTCTCGACATTGAGGTGAGTTACCTTCCAGTAGAAGTGGGTCGAACGTGTAACGCCCGTAGATCCGGGCTAGTCAATTTAGAGACGATAAGCATAAAAAATGACTTTTTGATGGAAGATTATTTAGATTGATTAATCTTAACTAAGTTGTAGTATATGTTACAAGGATTTCGTGCATATAAAGAACGCCGAAATTTGAGTTATAACGAATAAGTTATAACATGTCGCAATTTCGCGACATAACCAACACAGTGCGACGTAAATAGTAAATTTACATTAGAGCGATATTTGGCCTTAGCGATCTAAATGAAAGTCATAGAATACGTTAAACCGAGAGCGTGCATGAAAAGAACACCTAAATTTGACTTCGTATGAGGAAATTATGATTTTTCGAAGTTTCGGCTTAGCAGTGTACAACCCGAAGTTCGAATTTGAGATCGAGCGATATTTAGCCGAAACAATCTAAACGAGAATTGAAGATCTCGTCGATAGTAGCCCAACGGTGAAAAGACAGACGAAAACGAAGTTCAAATGAAAGAGTTATGAATTTCGAACGGAGTTTTTCTTTCCCGGCCTACTAAAAATAATATAATAAAAATAAAGTCAAAATTAGCCAATGAATACTAAACGAGAGTTGTAGAGCATAATCTCGCCTACGCGTGGATATAAGCAACATCAAAAACGGAGCTCGTATGCAAAAGTTGTGAATTTATGAAGTTCGGGGCGTGAACCCCAAGGCTGTGTCAGAGCTCACGAGGTGAGCAGATGATGGACGTCTTCCAGGGCAAGTGGCCATGACGAACGCAATGATGTATCAAGCTCACGAGGTGAGCATATGTGCCTCACGAGGTGAACTTAGCATTATTACCCTATAAATAGAATTCAAGGGGCAGCCGAGTTTGGTTGCTCATCTCTTACTCTCCCATTCCCGATACTCTCTCTAAGCCCTCTTTTAACCCCCCGAAGCCCCGTTATCATCCCGAAACCCGAAGCAAGTCCCGAAGCCCAAAGATCCCGAGAAGAAAAGAGTTTCCGAGCCGAATCTCTGCCTACGAGAAGCCGATTTTTGTGAAGATCTTCCAGATCTACCAAACAATACTACTTTTACAAGCAGTAGTGTTGTCTGATCATCTTCTGATCAAGTGAATGTGTGGTTACTTTCTTCTAACACATAAATATGAAGTATTTACTATAGAATACGTGCTATGTGTTTATATATTGTTTGTTTATTTAAGGTGAACTTGAAATAAATGTTTTATATAGTTTTTAAATAAGTTAAATTGTATATGTATTTTATATCTACAAATATGTTGGGTAGAACGTGGGTAGATGAGATAGTTGGTATGTGATAAAATGATGAGGTAAATGATGAGGTATGAAAGGTGATTAGGAATGATATTGACAGATGCACCAATTAGAGAATGTCATAATACTAGCAGATGCGCTTAAGAATAATATTGGTAGATGTACCAAATAGAGAATGTCATAATAGTAGCAGATGCGCTTATAGGATAATCCTGGCAGATGCGCTTATAGGATAATGTCGGTAAATGCGCCTAAAAGAGAATGTCATTAACCTGGCAGTCGCGCCTCACAGTGTATGACGTAATCCTAGCAGAGGCGCTTAAAGGATGATGTTGGTAGATGCACCTTATGTAGCAATGGATGTTGTGCCTGATGTGTGTACAACCAACTAGTTTTAATCCTACTAACTTAGACAAAAAAATAAACACACGAAAGGCTGTGTACCTATCGATTAGTAATATAGTTCAAGCAAGTAGGGTATCGAACACAGGGAACGGTAAACAATTAAAATAAATGCTAATATTATCTAAATAAAACAAGTAAAAAAAAGAGTTTTCTCTAGTTTTGCAAGACTAGAAACTTAAATACTTTACTAACACGCAAACTAAGCAACTAACAGCTAAGAAAACAAAGATCAACTAGATTCAATGATTAAAAAGGCCTTCTGTTTAGGTTCAAATCATTTGTTCACATGGATGATTTTATGGTAAATATATCGGATTAATTCTTCATTGGTTACCGATTAAAGTGATTAGATTCACATTTGCTATAGCTAATCCTTAGAAAACATATTAATTCAAGCAATGGCCAGTTGTCTAAATTAATGAATTTCCTAGTTTGTTGATTCGGGTTTATAAAGACTTGTAATTAGCTAATCAAATTGGTGATTCAATTAACCTCTTGTTGATGGTGTATCACACAAGCTCACACATTAACTTACCTATCTTCAAGTTAATTCTAGTTTCACATTCATTATTCCTAGATATACAACTATGTGGTCACGTAAATCATATGAAATTAGCAACTAAGAGATGTTCATAAAACTTAATTACTGATTTATTAACAGAAGAATAGTTATTGTTAACACATAAGGTTCTTTAACAAGCTTAATAAAACATAATCACCAATTAAAATTAATCCTAATCATATAATCAATCCATGTTCACAAATTCATCTACCTAAACAGAAGTTATGAGTTTTTAGCTCATGATTACAGCAGAAACAAGCACAAAAACAAAATCAATTGGTAAAAACATAGTTCAAACAAGATATTAGGTAAGAGTAAACTTGATTTTGACTTGATTTTCCTTAAAATTGAATGTAGGGTTGATTCCCTTGCTTCCCACGCTCCAACAGCACCTTTAGTCGACAATTGGCCTCCAAGGGTTCATCTATATGCTAGGGTATCGATCTGAAAGTCCCTTTATATAGATTTTTACAAAATAGGGGCTACTCGGCGAGTCCAGTGAACTACTCGGCGAGTCCATCACTTAAAACCCGTGTACGGCAAGTCAGCGCGTCCAGAATCGCGAAACTTCTGACCAACTCGGCGAGTAATCGACCCTACTCGCCGAGTACGTTTTGATTCAGCATTTTTTCAAAACACGAAAGTCGTCCGAAATTGTGTCTACTTTTCAGAACATTTTGAATCTCATCAATCGGAGTTACGGTTCATGAGATATGGCCAAAACACTGACGAGGGGTCAAGCTGTCCAGCAACATCCTTCTTTCTTCAAAATCCAAGATCCAAGCGTCCAATCGCTAGTTCCGCTTCCTTTTCCATCCGAACATGTCATCATTGCTGAAAAATTAAATTCTAAACTAATTAAGCACCTTTTGTTCATTAAATGAGACAAAAACAACATAAAGTATTAAGATAATGCATGAAGTTTATAACTAAATATGCTCATATCAGTGCCAATTACTTAGGTCAATCCTTAGGAATGAGTTAATGAAGGATAGTTGTATTCTTAGGGTAAAACCTTGAGAAATAAAGAAGATAATTGGGATGGGTAATTGGGTTGATTGTTTGATGGTTGAATATAATAATTATATTATTGTGGGTCGAAAACCCTATATGCTCACTAGGCTCCTAAGCCTGACGCACTCAGTTTTCTTTGCATCACATGTATCAATACGAAGACATATTTTACTGAGAGATTAAAGGAGATGTAAATCATCAGTGTAAATAAATATAAATTCTGTTTATGCTTATGTGTCTGTATCGGAACATGACATCCCGAGATTTTGCTATATAATGAAAATACATTTCTTTAAGAAATGGTTTGATAAATTCTTATCATATTTTGTTTTGGGTACAAATTCCGCAATAGTTTTCTTTAAACGATTACTCTGATTTTATAAAACAAAGCATAAACAAATCGGTCTTTTATGACCGTGAAATTGGGGATGTCACAGAAGGCACCAAGGTTGGCCTACTAGTAAGAGTTATAGTATCGGCAATTGTCTTTGTGGTAATTATCTGGTATATTGTTATATGTTATGTTTATGTGCTAGTATGATATGATGTTATATGGTTGCAATAGAAGGGGTAGGATAGATCCTAGTACCGGTTGATAGGGACGAAAGGGTATGCCAACACCCAAATAAGTAGGCAGTATATGACTTGTATATTTATGCACTGGGGTGCACCTTGTAGAGTAGGGGTGAAATAGTCCCTAGTACCGGTCGATAGGACCAAAGGGGTAGGCCAGCACCCTGATATGCTACGCAGGGTACTGGTCGACAGGGACGAAGAGGAGGCCAGCACCCAGATATGCTAGACAAAGTATCGATCGATAGGACCGAAGGGGTAGTTATTACCCAATTATGTTATGCAGTATGTGTTATGTATGTTATCTGGTATGATAAGGGAACTCACTAAGCTTTGTGCTTACACTTTTCAATTTTGTTTCAGGTACCTCTTCAACGAAGGAAAAGGAGCCGGCGTGGTAGCTGCACATCACATACACAAAGGATTTCCGCACTATGCCATTCTTGAGATTGTACTCTGATATTTTTACAATTTTTATGATATGGTTTTGAGACATGTAATTGTGGTTTTATGAAATGATATGGCTTGGTGATGTTTTCTTATAAATGTTTTCTAAATCCTTATATTGAAAATGAAATTTTTGGTCTCGAAAATTCGGATGTTACGTGATTAGTAATGGTAGAATTGTATGATAGTTGTCTTTGTGATGCTTGCATTGAAGACCAGGAGGTGGCTCCTGGCACTTATCTTTAAGACCCAAGGTTATAGCCCCCGGCCTGGCAAGGAAGACCACGAGGCGGCTCGTGGCATAATGGCAAAACTTTGGTTGGCACATATCACTCCTATTGATTATGTTTATGTGTGATATGTATGGCTAATGATTGTGTATGTTATGTAAGGCTCGTTTGATATGTGTGGTATGTGGTATTTGGGGAACTCACTAAACTTTATGATTACAGTTTGTGGTTCATGGTTTCAGGTACTCTCGTTTCAAAAGGAAAAGAGTCTGGTTTAATCGCAGCATATACATCCATGTTTTCCGCAATGTGTGATCTTTAGGAATGAACTCTGATAACTTTTTTATTTGAAATACTTTTAAATGTTTGGACAAAATTACAATGGTGTTCTAATTTTAATAAAAATGAAGATTTTACGTTTGATTTTCAAGATGTTACATCGTGGATTGAAGAATAATTTTTTTCACAAACAATACATTTATGTTTTGAATTTAATATTGTAACGTCTGTGTTTCTGGGTCTGTCATTAATGATGATATAATAGTCTAGGTTAACCTTTGTAACCCGTTTTGAAATAATAGAAGTGTATTGTTTGAGTATTATGTGTTTTGTGCTTAATTGCTTAATTATGTGGGTTTGATTAATAAAAAATAAAAATAAGCATCAAAATTTAAGTGTAAAATAAACTTGATATCTTTAGATAATGTTGTAGTAGTTGAAACAAGGTTTCCGAAGATATAAAGAATGCCGAAATCCGAGTTATAACGAAGAAGTTATGACCTGTCGAAGTTTCGCGACAGAACCGGCAACGCTGAATGATGTAAAAAGTGAAATTTACGTTAGAGAGATATTTAGCCTTAGTGATCTAAACGAGAATCGAAGATCTCGTTATTAGTATCGAAGCGATAAAAAGTTAGGCGAGAACGGACGTCAAACGAAGAAATTATGAATTTATAACGAAATTTTATATCCCGGCCTATTAAAAATAAATAATAAAAACAAAGTCAAAATTAGCCGACAGAGTCTAAACGAGAGTTGTAGAGCGTAGTTTCACCTTCGCGTGGATATAAAGAACGTCGAAAACGGAGTTTGTATGAAGAAGATATGAATTTTCTAAGTTTATTAAATAATTAATAATTAAATTTAATTATTAAAATCGGCCTTATCCGAAGGGGAGTCACCGATCTGATCCGAAGTACGCCCAGCATACTAGCGTACGCCCCGTGTACAACGAAGCATGACACGCCTCGCACTCGAGTTCTTCGGATGACGCATGCAGTGACGAATTCAGAGGCTTACGCCCCGCGTACTCCGAGGCTCCAGCCTCCTATAAATAGGATGCGAGGCTGCCGAGTTCCTTTGCTATTTTTCTCTCTTCTCTCTCCCGTTTTACATCGATTTGTGTGCCATAAGTACCCCGAAGCCCTGGTAATATTCCTGAGTACCGAAGCAAGTCCCGAGATCCCGAAGATCCCGAGAAGTGCGGTTCCCGAGCTGAAGCTCTGCTCGCGAGAAGTTCGATTTTTGTGAAGACCTTCCAGATCTGCTGAGGATTACTACTTCTACGAGCCATAGTGTTGTCCGATCATCTTCTGATCAAGTGAGTGTGTAGTTACTTTCTTCTAACGCATAATTATGAAGTACTTTATACGAAATACGTGTTATGTGTATAGTTTGTTGTTATGTGTGTGAATGTATATTCACTTTCTTCTATCTTATAGATCTGATTATTTCTCTATGAAATACGTGTTATGTGGGTGTGTCTCATCTGTTATGTAGAAAATGCATTGATTAAGCATGCTATACAGGTTTTGAAACTATGTATAAAAATGTATGTTTTATCTACTAATATGTTGGGTAGAACATGGGTAGATAGTTGGTGTGTAATAAACAGATGAGAGGCCTCGATGTTGTTTTGATCCAGTCATCTAGCGGAATTTAGATGATGGCCACGGACTTTTCTAGACAGTCCAGTGGAACACTAGCAGGCTCATAACCTGTAGGTGTAAATGAACTTGGGTGTTCATTCGTTGTATTCCATCCCCCTCATGGTTGCCTTATTTGACTTATATTGCTGAGGAACCCCCGGAGCATGTGTTGTCGCCCCGATGAAATATTCTAAGACTAGGTCCCTTGTGTTAGTTGTTTTAGGGACGTAAAGTGAGAATAACGAGAATGGGTAATTGGGTTATTGTTGATTGGTGGAAATTAAATATAATTATTTATTGTGGGTTGAAAACCCTATATGCTCACCAGGTTCCCAAGCCTGACCCACTCAATTTTATTTGTATTACAGGAAGTGGCGCAAGGGCATAAGATGGATGAACCATCAAGTTGTTTTGTTTACAAGTCTGTATATGTATATATTTGTTGAATGACTTGTAATGTTATCGTTTATGCTTTATGGTCTGTATCGGAACATGACATCCCGAGTTTTGATTATATAATGAAAATACATTTCTTTTATGAAATGCTTTGGTAAACATTGTTTTATCACGTTTTGTTTTTGGGAACAAATTCCGCAACTCTTTCAAATCAAAAGGATTTACTCTGAAATTATTTTAAAAGTATAAATGAAAATCGGTCTTTTCTGACCGAGATTTTGGGGATGTCACAAATATTGTTAGGAATAAACAATAATAAATACACACATAAAGTATAACATTTAACATGGTTCGATCAATGTAACTTATATTCATGCTTCATATAGTATGAGGAAATATTATTAATCACGAGTTTGAAAATGATATTACAGTTGACACCCTAACTATGTGTATTGACAAAATTCAAAAGAGAACACTAACTAGAATATGGGCAGGTCCAATTACATATATCAACGTTTTTTGGTGTAACGATCCCAAGTCTACTGGCAAACACTATTATAGCGATATCGAATGTCTAGTTGTTTTTTTTTTTTTTAATACTTTGGTCGGTTGAATCAATATCCATTTGAGGTTGTCAATTCACAAGTCATAATTAACAAATATATTTTAGGCTACTTGGTATGATCAACGTCGTTCAAAGGGCCACGCCAACATAAATCTGTGTCTTCTCCACAATGTCATTAATGGGGATGGTGTTTCAAAAAAAAAAACGTTGTTAAGGAAGAAGAAAAGCATAGGGAAGAAACGCGTTGAAGGATGTTATGTTGGCAACGGAAAGCAACAAGAAACCAGAAATGATGTTTGGCCGTTACCTAGTAGCTTCAATGTTGGCAAAAACTGCCCTTAAGAGACCCGTACCCATTACTCTTGCAAATGAGTTCCCATTTCTCTTACAAATCAATCGTACAATGTTTTATGTTATAAAAAACGACTTTGCTAGGATTAGTATGACTATTTTTTAGAAAATGGTGATCACTTGTTATTTTTCCCGTAATTCATTTTTAATAGTTTAGTTATCTCAAATCAAAAATATAGATGTCATAATTATTTATAATGATTTTAGAAGCACCAAAATCCTTTTTGACCAGAGTAATCCCCTACCAAACATTGCTAGCTTGTGACACAAGTGAAACCCTAACCTACCAAATTCTTCTCGTTACAATCTCTCCGAAAAATTGCCAGTAAACTATAGTCGTCATCGTAGATCGGTATAGTAGAACAAAGATTTGAATCGACAAAAGGCCCTCTCAAGATTGAAGGTCGTTGGTTCACTTTAAAGGAAGATGAACGGCGGCCCATCTGGTTTCAGTATGTATTTTCTACCAATTTCTTTGAAATTCCCTTTCTTATTGCTAATTTTGAATCGATTGTTTATAATTCTTTTGCTGATTGATCAGATAATGCTCCGATCACTAGAACCTTTGTCATTGCGTGTTGTGTGTTCACGATCGTGTTTGGGATCCAAGGTCGTTCAAACAAGCTCGGATTGTCTTATCAGGTGTGGTTTCTTTTTGTTCTTAATGCTTAGATGTACCAGTATCAATTCACAGTTCTAAGGGACTTAGGAGTATTTTGTGATCGACCATACTGATCACCCTTTGTCGAAATTTATGATTTCAGTTCTACTTCTTCCTTCTTCCCTGAATACTTGCCGCACAAGATGGGCATTTTGGTGGATACATACAGGAAAACTAGCAAAACCCTGATTCTAACATATAATCATAGTTCTATCTCCTAACATAGATCAACTAGGGGAATAGATGATAGTAATCCCTAATCTGACATGACAATATGACATAGAATGATGAAATATTTGAAGTTGAGAAATTGTAAGGAAAGATTGCTCGCCCACATAAACAGTTTGGAGTGCTGAAACCTCATAATTAAACTAACATTTAGAGCTAATTGTTGATCTATATTCGTTTTCACACATGACAGGATATCTGGAAGAAGCTTCAGTTATGGAAACTGATTGTTTCAACTTTTACATTTTCATCTACACCAGAGCTCATGTTTGGTGCTTATCTTCTATACTACTTTCGTGTGTTTGAGAGACAAATTGGTTCTAACAAATATGCTGTGAGTATTTTCTCAACCCATTAATTAACATACCTGAATTTTATTCCACTATAACGACCAATTCTCTGTCTGCAGGTGTTTGTCTCATTCTCTATAATTGTGTCTTCACTGCTACAGCTTTTTGGCCAAGCATTTCTTAATGGTAAGCTACTTAGTGTGCTTCATTTTATGATTACTACAAGAGTTTCTTTTGGTATCCTACCTTGCACTTTTGACTTACTTTATGCAGATCCAACTTTGAGTGTGCTTACATCTGGACCCTATGGCCTTATATTCTCTTCCTTTGTTCCATTCTATTTTGACATTCCTGTTTCAACACGGTTTCGTGTGAATGCTCTAAGTTTCTCAGACAAATCTTTCATTTATTTAGCTGGTCTTCAGGTAGTTATAATTATAATATAATATAATCTTTTTTAACTTATAGACTACTGAAAATATTATCTTCATTATATACTTATTTTAAATGATGCAGCTTCTATTATCATCTTGGAAAAGATCCCTAGTTCCAGGTCTATGTGGCATCCTTGCTGGCACTTTATATCGGTTGAATGTACTACGCATCCGCAGGCTTAAGGTTATTACTTTTGTTAATCTTGAAAGAGAAAACATAAAAAAAGAAGAGGAGTAATAATTTGTTTTACAATGATTCTTGTGGTTTTGATAATTTCAGTTCCCAGAGTTGATAGCCTCCTTTTTCTCAAGGCTTTCTTTGCCATCTGTGGGGAGTGCATCACCTGCTCCACCATCTAGAAATGGACCATCCTTTGCAGCTCGTCAAGTTGAGGTAATTGGAAAATTTATGTCAGTTTCCATTTTTGCACTCTATCTGTTTGATAAAATGCCTCAGAAAGTGTTTTAGAACTAAATGATGAAGTTGTGATTATGATGCTTAATTTCAGGGTAATTATCGTGGCCCAATATCATCTACCCCTGAGCCACCAGAGGATTCAATTGAAACATTGGTTTCCATGGGATTTGATAGGAATTCAGCCAGACAAGCCCTTGTTCATGCCAGAAACGACATCAATGCTGCTACAAATATTCTTCTTGAGTCACAAGTTCATTAATCACATTCACAGGTGAATCATATATATCTTTTTTATGATATGTATATATTATAGATATAAATGTAGTTGGTTGATGCTAAAAGTTTTTGAAAATTGCTGTTTTCCAGATATTCTCTATGCTCCAGTTTTGAGTTGAAGATGATAGGATAATCTGCTCTTCTAGAAGAACTCTGCAAACTTGTTTATGGTGTTTTGTTCAAAGTTTAGTTTCGTTTTATTTACTGTCATGTTTTTTTTCTTTTTTACTAATGATAGAGATGTGTATACTCGTGAAACTAGAATCATGTAGGGTTAATTATCGGACACTAGAAAATGCGTTTTGACAAAAAAAAAATTTATCAATGGGACCAAAAATTGTAATATTTTGTCCCTACTAGAAAGGTGGTTGCTTTAGATCTCTTTGTTTGTGGAAAAGACGTGAATGCTCGCTTTGAAAATAGTCCTAAAAGATTCTCTTGTGTCACAAAAGTTAATGTTGAATTGTGAGGTATATTGATGTATTTTGGTTTTGTTATCAATATGGGTATAGCTCGTCTATATCTTTTGTTCATAATAGCACAGAGAATTTATACTTGTTTTTACAGGTAATACCGTTAACATGAAATGTTTAAACTGCTTAGAGTTTAATGTTAATATCGTTATTGTTGAAGAGAATGTGAGTATGTTATAATGAATAAGGATATACAAGTGTGTTGTGGTGGTGTTTTTATAATTAAAAAGAAAGTGTATTACGGTTAAGTAGTAAAGTAAATAATGCAATAATTATTATTTTTATTAATGGTAAATTATATAAATACTGTTATTATTGGGTAAAATATACATTGGCAATATGCAGTTTTTTGTACTTTATTTACTCTAAAAAAATGCTCCAAATATCTAAAGGTGATTGGTGCTTTGTTTTGTAATTGGATTATATTTTGTTTTTTCTATAATTTTTACAAACTTATAGGGGTACAATACAAAAAAATTCTTGAATTTTATAGGTTTTATTACAAGGTGGTGTTGTGTGTACCTTCTAATACATGAAATTTCTCCAGGTATCATTCTTTAGTTTTTTTTGTCATTTTGTTTGTCTTTAAATCTATTTTGATGTAAAATATTGTCTTTTATATATTAAATAATTGATTTGATTTGATGTCTTTTTAACTTTAACTTTAATAATAAAAAAATTGATTTGATGTTTTGTTTTCTTTTATTATTACATATATATAACACGGTCAATCGATTGAACTCGTTCAAAATTTTCAAATCTCATATTTTTGTCTAAATCAATATTTCTATAACGATTGAAAGATCTTACTTCAACCATGCACTTATGAATGAAATTTCAAATGAATTTCAACCATACAAGTCACTCATAAAAATGTGGAAGTAGACGAACATTGTGGATTCCGGACAGTAGCTTTTGCTCTTGGTTTTAGTGAAGATTATTGGCATCAAAGTCAGACAGACTTATACAAAGAGTTATCGATGCACATTGATGATTAAATAATGGTTTTTGAAAATGAGATAAATACCATTAGTAAAGCGTTGACATTCTATATAACACCGCATTTCGAAAATATTAGATGATTATGTCTTATACTGGTATTCTAATTGCTAATAAGTATGATGTAATTGTTCATTTCTTAAGCAAAAACACATCTTCAACGTCTTTCCCACTTTGGATTGGTCCATAAGATTTTTCAAATCATCCAATTATAAATATTGCTCTCTTTAACGGTTGTCATTATGTTAAGGGTGATTTACAAGAGGGTCTGGCTAGTGTTTCTTGGCTGTGGAATATGCACAAATCAACACACTCTACTTGATGACAAACATTGTATCACGCTAGATTGAATGCTTACGTTCCACCATATAGACCATGTAATAGTCGTCATATTGAAAGAGTTAACATATTACATAATTAATAAAATGTAAATTCTAATTTGTTTAATAATAACATCGTATGCTTATGTTGTATCACGCTCAATTGAATGCTTATGTTTGACCATAAATTTTATTTTGTTTAATAAATTTTAATTTGTTTAATAATAACAAAAAACAAAACAAAACAAAAAGACAAAAAAAAAATAACAAAAAGAAAGATGGTAGAAAAGGAAATTAGGGGTATACAACGGGGAAAAAATTAAAATTAAATAAATAATAAAAACCTTTACTAAATTGTGTATAAAAAAAATATAGAGTGTAAACCCAACTTAAGGCCTATAGGACATAGGGTGACAACCCTCAAACAAAACAATATTTTAGGTGTGTTGGGGATTCAACATGATTTTGTTATGGTTTGACCAATAGAATAATGACCATTCTTTATTGACATGATTTTATTTCGACTTTATTTCACACGCATGTATGTTTTGATTATAAGAAACAAACTGAATAAACCATTCGACTAGGTAGATAAGTCATTGAACTTTTTTTTTTCACCTTTTTAGCTTAAATTGGTCTTTTAAAGAAAATGATATATTTTATATTAGTCCTTATGACCGGGTTTACTGGTCTATCGGTTATATCGATTCATAAATGCACAAAAAGGTTAGGTGAAAGGTCAACTTAATGTGTAAACCTGGAAAAAATTTGTTTCAAGGACGCGGCATATACAAAATAATAATAAAAAAATTAATGATTAAAGTGGGAAAAAAGGCATAGTTTGAATATTCCATTTTTTTCCTCGTTATGATTGACAATTTGGTCACCCAAGTAATCTCGGTTTCATGGTAGTCGTTAATTCTCAAAATTGGAAACCTCATTTAGGCAAAGCATTTGGGAAAGAAATGCAAGTCTTAATTAAGATTCCGTTTGAAAGTAAAGTAGTACATGAGACGGAATTTTGAGAGCTTTGTCATATATCATTTTGAGACCACATGTACATGGACTAATTGCATGAAATAGCAACCAACTTTCCCAAAATAAGCAACATTACACACTTTATTCTTTACCCACAGTAGCAATTCAGACAAAACTAACATCTTTAACATACATACTTGTTGTACACAAGACATGACACATCCATCAACTTTTCAGTATTGAGACAAGATTTAAGACATAGGTTCACGAGACGTCCACCTGTCTTCATACCTCCCATACGAAAAACTATTGGAAGGAAGTCCCGTGAAATGAAGCGGGTCTGGTTCGATCCCGTAATCAGTCAATGGTCTATTTTCAAGAACTTCATCATGTTCAGCCACAAAGTCCGGAATCTCAATCGATCCTCTCTTCATATCCTCCCACAGATACTGCAACCTACTCACATACTTCACCTTCCAATATAACCTGCCAAAAGGGAACAATAAACTTTATCAGTGTCAATGACAGTGACAGTGACACAGACAGAGACAGAGTAACACTTACCCTCCGCTTAACAGGAAGCGGCCGAGGGTGGCCATAAGGAGCCTGGAGCGGATTCCGGGATGAACAAAGTAGAGAACTTGAAGGCGGTCCTTGAAGTCTGAAGGAAGGTCTTCGTAGATCCATCTCAAGATGGTGATTCCGGGGTTGTTGTATTCATTTCTAACGGTGGAATGCATGTAGACAATGCAAAAAGGGCCTTGTGGCAATTCTGTTGAGATTTTGTATATTATGTATTTCTTTAGCCATTCGCCATGGATCACTGGGGCTGGAGTTTATAAGTTAACAAACACACAATAGTAATTAGTTAGTACAACATGACACCATTCACATGGTACTTGTTTAGGATTTGGTGTTAGCCTAAACATACCAAAGCTTTTTGATAACCATGGGATTTAACTTTTAAGATTCACATGAGCAAGAAAGGTGAAAAAGGAAGCAAGTATTCATAACTTTGTACAAATTTTTATGTCGAATATTGGCACAAATACACATTTGTATATCGAATTCTACTTTGTTGAACAATTTTAGGACATAAGAGGGTTCAATCAAATCACAAAAAGGTAGATTATAACTTTAAAAGACCTATTGTGGAAGCTGAATGAGATAAAATCATAATCATAATCCCCAATCCCAAACCACCAACTGAAACCACATATCAACAGACGTAAATCCTGATAGAAATTAAATTATTCAATCGTTATCCCTTACAATTAGCATAAAAGTTAACAGAGTATGATAATACCAGGGAAGTATTTGCCAACGATTCGAAATATGCGATTGCCGGATTTATCAGAAGTAGATTCAAGGCGAAAGAATTGCAAAGCATCAAGAGCTGGGAACTCGTCGTCGTTATAGGCAAGATCGGAAGGGCAGTCGTGCCAGTTCTCTTCGGTGGTGGCTTCAGATGATGTAAGTGGTCGTGGGTCTATGCCGTGACGATCCGACGGCACTACCACTACCTTGAATTCTTCCCGAGTCGCCATATTTATTGATCAAATTCCCTTCTCCATCTCCTTATTCTGCTTTCAATGGTGTTTTTGGGGAGAAAGGAGGATAAAGCAAAAGCCCTGTTAGAGTGTTAGGAAGGGTCAGTCAAAAGGAGCGAGTGTCTCCCCATTTTTCATTTTAAGGGAAAATTAGGCGAACAGTCCCTGTGGTTTAGGATGAATTTCATTTTTGATCCCTAACTTATTTTTGTTAACTCGACCATCCTCACAATTTAATTTTGTAACCAGCCTAATCTTGTGCTAACATTCCATTGATTTCTTCTGTTAGACACCCCAAGTGCCTTCCACACTGGGGGTATTTTTGTCCTATATTTTCAACGGTTTCAAATACATTAAAGCATCTTCTCATTGCAAATCTTATTTCTTCTTTAACTGAGTCATTGAGACTTTATCCAAGTCAATTGGGGGTTCATGCCAATTCAAAACAACATTTTGAAGCAAGTTGGAGGTTCTTTAACTCAACAATTCTAACCTTACACTGATTGTGGGACATTCAATAAGTATGTAAATTGGTTTTCCCATTATATACGTCTATTAGCTTATGCTTACAAACAAACGTACCCAAATGGCAAACATCATGATTAGAATTCAAAGCAAACAACCCAAAATCCAAATCGCTGAATGGTCTTAGAAAATAATAGTAAAATTTCCTAATGTCTTCACGACTATACCCAATTTCATTCAAATCGTTAAACGGAAGAAGTGTCCATGTCTAGTAAATCAATGCAATGTTGCTTGCCTTTGATATACCTTCTTCAGTGAAACTGTGTGAACTTGCCACCATGGTTTAATCGAATAGAGAATATCATAGGATGTTTAGATGTAGATTGAAGGGAAATATCAATGTTTTAAGTTAGCTTTAACTTATTAACATATTGGATAGAAGAAAATGATGTCCATTTACAGAAACTCTTGACTGATTAATAACCGAGGAAGAATATCTTGACTTACCCTATCTACGACCAACATCAATCTCGTCCATGGTAGCATGGATCCTCCGAGGCGCATCGTCGTCTTCAACTGTAAGGTTCTCAAACAGGGTTTGTGAGTGTTTTTGGTGTCTAATTGTGTTAAGTGTTAGCGTTATAAATCCTTCAGCTTCATATTCACTGTAACACAAACACAATGTAGAATGACAAATATACCCCGACCATGCAAGGCACGTGCGGTGTCTAACATAGAAAAATGATGGAATGTTAGCACAAGGACTAGGCGGGTTACAAAATTAAAATGAGGCTGGTCTGAGCTAAAAAAAAATTAAATCAGGGACCAAATGTGCAATCCTAAACCACAAAGATAATTTTCCTCGTTACTAGCGTGCAACACGACACAAACCAAACCAAAATACACCAGTCACTTACTTTTCACAAAAACAACAAAGTAGGAGTTTCCTATAATAATTGTTTTAGATTTTTCCATAAGGTGTCGTACTTGCAAGTATTTATTTTTAGAAGATTGGATAAAGCTAAAATAACGGTTATCAGAAATAGAAATAATTAAAACTTGACTCCATTTAACACTCTTATAAATTCAAATTAAATCAAAATGGTCAAAGTAACGGTGGTAAAATTACCATCAGTTTCTATTACATATATAAAAGTCAAAGTCTCCGGTTTCTATTGCACTTTAGCTAGTTGTTTTAATGTAAAGTTCACTAGTTACCCTTTCTAAGGTTACATGGAAAAGATAAAGACTCAAATCCCTTATCTCATGAGTTTGATTATAGCAAAATTTACACACTACTCCTACTGCACAACACAAGCATCCAAAACTTGCAATTTCCAGCAAGCAAACAGTTTTCATTACAGCAAATTATGAAGAGGGTCTTCTGGTTTTACAGGATTTTCAAAAGCCATAATGTGTTCCTTAAAACGAGCTGCAGCTTCTTCTCTCTCTTCTATCTCCCCACACTTGTCCAGCACAACTGCCATCAAGTAATACGCTTCTGCTGCCAGCTCATGATACTGAAAAAAAAAAATCAGCACAGCTTCAAAACATTCAATATTTGGTACAACATAAATGAATTAACTAACCTCCAAAGCTTCAAGTCCTTCACAAGCTTGTCTTAAAGAATCAAGAACAATATCAGGATCTTCAGAAACTGAAAAAAGGAAAACATAAAGACATCATACATATATAAATTATTACATGAGAATAAAGATAAACAGAAAAACATTATTAAAAAAAAAACCTGAAATGCTGGAGTCTGATAAGTAACATTTTGCCTCTAAGATGTAGGCCCGAGATCGAAGCTCCAAACCACCTTGACCAAGTATGATTGGAAAAGCACCATGGATAAGATTTAAAGCCCTTTTTGCATGCCTTGATCCAAGTAAAAGCCATAATTCTGCTAGTGTTAAAGTGGCTGAGCCTCTCAAAAGATCCAAATTAAACGATTCACAAAACGATAAGCTTGCCAAAGCATACTGAATTCCCAAAACAGCATTTCCAGATCTCTGCCAAATCATAACAAGGTAAAATATACAACAAAAATCATCATTCATTAATTGAGATTTCATACATCATATTCTTACCTTGTGGATTTCAGCAAGCAAGAGGAGAACAGTTGCATTCTCTACATGCATATTGAATTTGTAACACGTGCAGAAGAGAGAATGTGCTATGGAAGCTGCCTGCATCACAAGTTGCATAATTAATATAGCAACATACTTTCATTTCTTTACCAAAGTAGGTTGCTATTATGGGTAAGAAATAAAGTACATTGCCTATTATTGGTAATGAGAGTAAAAAAAAAAAAAAATACCTGACTAAATTGGTTAGCAGCAAGCAATGTTCGAGCACAACGAAGGCTTGCTTCAGTCTTGAGATCCATGTCTACTCCAGCCACACAAGAAGCCAATACTCCAAGTTCATCACATATTTGTTGAGCTAATTTCAGATGCCCCCTACAAGATGATTCCCATATAATAAATATATATAATTAAAAAAAACAAATTTTGATAGACAAAAAAGATTTATAAAAAGCGATCATCATATTCATACTGGTGTAAAGCTCGTTCATGGAGCAGCTGCAGCTTAACTGGTAAGATTCCAGACTTTGAAACAGACAAAAACTTTGCTTCTGCTATTTTAAGTGCTACAAAGGCTTCTGTAGATAGAATGTAATTGTGTTTGTATATATTAGGAATCTAAAACAGATAAAAATTTCAAGTGTGGTGGAAATTGGAATTACCTTTGTACCCTTTGTAGACAGCTAAATGTTGGATGAGTTTCCCGTATGCCAAAGCAAGATCAGCTGAACTGTACCAACTGTAAAGGATATAATTCATCTATCGACAAAATTACATAAAAGGACATAATAATAATAATGAAACTTTCTTCAATAATCATTACCTTGATGAGTCAGCAAAGCAGGTGGCAAAAAGCAGAGCATTTGATCTTGCAAGTGAAGCACTGAGGAACATCAAATTGGTTATAAAGCATCAATAGAACAATATTTTACACAAATTGTAGTTTTGAAAGAAGAAATGAATCAATAAAAGTACCTTCCATATAGCTCCCAAGATGTTATACGAATTAAATAGGAAGATCCTACAAGCTGTAGCACAGATCCAGGAACAGAACTTGATTGTAACCATGGATAAAATGTGTCAAAATTGCCCTCAGATCCATTTTCTTGAGGAAACACCAATAAAGTTGTTGGCTTTCTTTGATTCTTAAGCCATGAAGTACTTAAAGCACCATCAATTGTCATTACCGAGTTTTCACTCTCAAAATGGTGGATCAATTGAGAACTTGACCTAAGTTTCTAAAGTAGTAAGAAAAAGAATGTATCAATAAAAGTTTAACATAGAATTTTGGGAAGATTAATTTAACAATTTAAGATGTGATTAGTAATTACCTTGCAAACATTAGTTGGACTAGTTCTGAGCTGGATAGAAGCTTTTGGACCGAAAGAAAGCAGAGGTCTTTGAACATGCTGCAATCAGAATTAGGGTTTGTTAGGTTGGATGGAATAGAATGACAAAGGAATGGAATGGAATCAACCATTCCATTCCTTCCCTGATTCTATCTGTTACCTACCGTTAAATCAAATTTAGCCATTGCCAAATGATTGGAAGCCACGAGGCGCTTTAGTTTTAAGGAATCTGCTCTTTTTAAAGATCTTCTAAGAAGCACAAATAACTGTTGTCGAACAGACAATGATGTGCCTATATTTGTCACATGTGAATCTGATGCTCCCATAATTCCAGTCATATTTGATATACCAACTTCAGATAACAGGCTACAAATGGCTGTTAATGTGTAGGCAAGACATGTGTCATCACTATGCTGCAAAATGTTACACAACAAACAAAAAATAAACATACATGGAACAGATATAAAAAAAATCATTTAGTTACCAAATGATATAGAACAAACATAAAAAGTATACCTGCTGACACACACGCACTGCTTCAGTCAAAACCTGAATAGCAAGAAAAAGATTCACCAGATTATGTTTCTTTATATATTTGGTCAAAATGTCAACACCTATATATATAATTATATATACCTCAAGAGCTAGTTTAGGGTGACCTAAATGAAAATGTGCCATTCCTAAAGATAATAAAGCAATTTCATATCTTCCATTACTGGTGCAACCAAATGATGTGGGAACAAAATCAGATCCCTCCATTCCTGCACTACAGTGTCAATAATCGAGTATTAATTACTCTAATTTTTTTTTAAATAATAATAATAATAATTTAGAGGTTATTGGTTTAGTTTGTAATTATGAGTTTTGGGTGTTACGGATACCTATAATCAAAATAACGATGAAGATTCTCTAATGCAGCTGGATAATCATCATGATAAAGGCTATTCAGATATCGCAAAAAGTGGACCTGCAAAACTTTAACATAAATTAATGGATTGACTGTTGACTAACAGATTTGACTTAGATGAAATGGATATACAGATTACAAATTACAAAGTAACATACACGATGCAACTCTGGGGCTACTTTTTGCAGAAGCTTTAAAACAGATTCAAAAGCACTCATAGGAAAAGAGCTTCCGAGCCTATGAAAACACAAATTTATACATCACGTAAGTATTTTTAGTAAAATAAAATCTATAAAATAGCTTACTTTT